TCCTCCTCCTCCTCCTCCTCCTCCTCCTCCTCCTCCTCCTCCTCCTCCTCCTCCCACGCTTCCCGCTTAGCTCCTTTCCCCTCGAAAGGGTTGGGCGCGCGCACTTGAATGGGGCGCAGCGCGCTCGGACCACCCCGCCGCGGGCCACGGAGGCGTGAGGCGACGGATGCAGAAGATCGGCATCAGTGTCTACCTAAGCTCCTGGTTGCTATCGCGGGACGCTGGCGTGAAGGTTGGCGAGTTCATCCAAAAAATCTAAACATGCAGAACATGAACCTGGAGATCATCCACGATGCAGGAGGAGTTTTGCAAGCTGCAGCCCCAGAAGCTTATGCTAGAGGAGAGAAGCAGCATGCTCGAAGAGGAGAAGCGTATGCTGCAGGTGGAACGCGACAAGCTGGACGCCCAGAAGCGGGAGCTGCAGGCGCAGCCACCGAGGAGGCCTTCTACGCCGCCTCGGCGCCTAAAGCTGGAGGATCCTCCACCTCGGATCCTCCACCTCATTGGCGACGTGTGCGATGGATCCTCCACCTCGGCCGAAGAGGCGCCCGAAGGCGGAGGAGCGCCTCAACGTGTCGGGCCCGCAGCAGGCGCGGGGCCTCTACCTGAAGCATGGAGCTGGCGCCGTCTGGATGGTGGGGACCGCCAAAGCCTCCAGTGGAATGGAGGGGCTTCAGGCCCCCGACGCTTGGCCGGGCACCTCAAGGGAAAACGGAGACACCTCCTGGGGCCTTCTCATGGGGGCCTCTTGGGGCGGAAGGCTGGGATTCTTTTGGGGCCCCCTTGGGCCGTCATGGGCGCCTCTTGGACCGTCTTTGGGGCGGTCTGAGGCCGTCGTGGGGCCCTCTCGGAGGCGGCCGGAGTCGGAGCAGTCGCCATCGCCCTTCGAGCCGAGGGAGGGGCAGAAGAGCCTGGAGGAGCACGCGGCGCTGCCGCCAGTTCAGGACGGTGCCTTCGGATCGGCGCACCCCGAAGGCGGCGGAGGAGACGCGGCTGGAACTGGTGGGGTCGCCAATGCTTTGCAGGCCGAAGGCGAAAAAGGAGAAGCAATCCCAGACCCCCTCGCGTGGTGAAAACAACACGGGGAGGTGTTTTCCCTCTTCTCGGCCTCTGGGCGTTCTTACTGGGTCTCGGGGCCGTCAAAAAACGACGAAGGATGAAAAACCGGTCCCAGGGAATGAGTCGAGACCTCTGGGGGTCGACGTTGTGAAGAAGGATCAGAAATCGAAGGAGCAGGCGAAGCGGCCGGAGTCCGGTCAGTCGCCAGAGTTCTTCGGGCCAAAGCAAAAGAATAAACATCAGGAAGGAGATGTGAAACGGAAGGTCAAGACAGCGACGCCTCGGGAGGCAAGGTCGTCGTAGGAGTCCTATCAGCGCTTGGACCTGAAGATGACGGACCGAAAGGCTGCGAAGCTGGTGTCGGAGCGGCCAGAGCCTTCAAGCCAAAGACGACTGAGAACACACAGCTGAGGAAGACGAAGGCGAAGAGGCTGGAGACCGTATCGTCGGCGGAGTCCTTCAAGCCCAGGGAGGTGAAGAAGAAAGAGAGAACGTTGTGGAATGTTCTGACAAGCAACGTCGTGCAACGGAGAGAGGAGAGGTCGTCCAGGCTCGCGTTCCGACGGCACCATGGGCTCAGATAGCGGGGTCGCGTTCGGAGAGGAGCTGATTGATGGCCGCGTATCGGAAGGGCCTCACCGGAGCATACGGCGGGCTGGTGTCCCTGCCAGGCCGCCACCCCTTGGACTCGTTTTTCGAGGCCTAGAGGCGCACCGTGGTGGAGACCCCTCAAGGCAGGGGGTGGGGGCACAGGGTAAGTGGTGGAGGCCACCCCACCTTGGCCAAAGACCGCAAGGGCAAGAAGGCTGCTGGCGACAGCGCTTCGGCTGCCAGGAAGAGCGTTGAATCGTCGGCTGGTAGCGGCGCAGGGCAACGAAACCTGCACACAGCTTTGACTCCACACGCCGGCGAGGCTGCTGGTGGCAGCGCAGCGGGTGCCAGGATGGCTGCTGGTAACAGCGAAGGACTGGATGCTGGTGGCAGCGCAACCGGTGCCAGGAGGGTCGACGGTGGCGTGGTGCCCTGCCTCGTCCAGTCGCTCGTGGAGGGCCTCGTGGACGGGGCCACGCCACAGGCGGTGAGGGTCATCCAGGCCGCCGTGCAGAAGGTGCTGGACGGCGTCCCCGCCAGGCTTCAGGGCGAGGTGGCCGAGGCGCTGCTGGCCGAGTCTCTCGGCTGAGGGTGTGGCGCGCTGCTCTCTGACGTGGGCCGTGGCTCGGTCAACGTGTTTCAGCGGGGTGCTGCCGCCTCTCTGCGCAGATCGTGGGTCGACGCCGCGTGGGTAGGCGCAATGTTTCGGGTTTGCGGCGGGCGCTGCCGCCAGCTGACTGGGGTGCGGGCCGTGGTTCGGCTGCTGCCGCCTCTCTGCGCAAGTTGTGGTTGCGCGGGTAGGCGCCATTCTTCTGGCTGGTGCTCAAAGATTGCAGCGGGACGCTGTCACAGTGGAGCTTTCCTGCGCGGGTCGTGGCTCGGCCATCGCGTGGGCCTCCGCTGGCGGTGTCGCCTCAGCGCGGCGCTCTTCATGCTCCGTTGTCTGATCTACTCTGATCTACCCACGCTCCCCGTTCCTGCAGATGCTGCTCCTCCTCTTTATCATATACACAATCCCCTCCCTACTGCTCAAGCTCTCCGTCATCTTCTTCCTCCCGCCCCCGTCCCTTCCATTCTCTCCTCACTCATCCCCGTCCTCCTCCCGCCTCAGCCTCCCTCCACCTGCACATCCCCTCCGACTCATCCCCATCCCCCCCTCGAATTGCCCACCTCCTCCTTCAGCGAGGGACAGGAGGAGGGACGTTGAGAGGGAGCCAGACGCCCCTCGAAGTATCCCCCCTCCTCGGATTGGCCCCCCGCCCCCCACCCCGCGAGGTATCTCCTCGCTTCCAGGCCCACCCCCTCTCGTGATCTTCCTCGCCTCCTCCAGCGAGAGACAGGGAGAGGAGCGCAGGAGCAAGAGCGGGAGAGAGAAGGAGGAGGACGAGGATTTCCGAGAGGAGGACGAGGAGAAGGACGGGGAGGAGGAGGACAGGGAGGACGAGGGAAGGCAGAGAAGAAAGAAGAGGACGAGGAGAAGAAGGACGAGGAGGAGAAAGCACCCTCCCCCCGTCGCCGTGCTGTAGCGCCGCGCACGGGCGCGGCGCGTCCTACCAAGCGGGGGAGGGGGGGCAGCGGCGGCGCACTTTATGCGCTCTTGATCCGCTCCCCTACGAACTAGCCACCAGCCCAGCCAGCTCCTCCTCGTGCTCCTCCTGCTCCTCCTCCTCCTACTCCTCCTCCTCCTCCTCCTCCTCCTCCTCCTCCTCCTCCTCCTCCTCCTCCTCCTCCTCCTCCTCCTCCTCCTCCTCCTCCTCCTCCTCCTCCTCCTCCTCCTCCTCCTCCTCCTCCTCCTCCTCCTCCTCCTCCTCCTCCTCCTCCTCCTCATCCTCCATTCCGTTCCCATGTAACTAATTTCTCCCTGTCGCACCCCGAGGCCAGTTTTTAGGGCGGGCCGGGCGTTTCACCTGAGACTTCCTCACCATGTATGACTCTTAAGCTTTCAAAGTGGCAACAGCTTCACAGATGGAGGGCGGTTGGTTTTGTGGTTTGCAAAATGTGGCGATCGCCTTTGCGTCACGCACATTCGCTCTAAAAAGTTGTCGGAGCTTTACGGACTGAGGAAACCCGTTTTCAAAATGTGGCTCTCGCCTTAGCGCTGCGCACACTCGTTTAAAAAATGCAAGCGCTTCACGGATTGAGGATAAGCCGTGTTCAAAATGTGGCTCTCGCCTTTGCGCCGCGCACACTCGTACTAAATATTTGCAACCGTTTCACGGATTGAGGGCGGTTCCTTTTCAAAATGTGGCTCTCGCCGTAGCGCCACGCACATTCGTTCATAAAGCTTGCAAGAGTTTCACGGGTTCCCACGATCAGCGTACCAGAACTTGTGTTTTGGATGGGTTCCAGATTGTGAAGGCGCAACAATTACGTTGATTCGAGGTGTTGAACTCCCAAGAATGACGTTCTGGCACGATCCAAGATCGTCAAGACGCAACTGTCAAGTTGATCCGTGGCGTTGGACCGAGAACAATGTTTTAGCATGCTTCCGCGTGTTCAAACGGTTGTGTTCCAACGAGGCAGACTCTCAATAGAAATGAGCCGTTGTAGGGGCCTCTGAAGAGGGAGCTTGGAGGGAGGATGTATTCCAACATCGTTGATGGCTCTTTGGTTTACACTGGTCCTCATCCTCATCCTCCTCCCCCTCCTCCTCCTCCTCCTCCTCCTCCTCCTCCTCCTCCTCCTCCTCCTCCCCGTCCTCCTCCTTCTCCTCCTCCTCCATTCCTCTGCATTAGAAATAACTCCTCCCTGTCGCACTCCGAGACGGGTCGGTAGAGTCGGTAGGGCGTTCCGCCGGAGCCTTCCTCATCAATTAGATTCTGGAAGCTTGAAGAGTACAATAGCTTCACGGGTAGAGGGAGGTTTGTTTCAACATGCGTCTCTCGCCTTAGCACCATGCACAACTCGTCTGAAGAATGTACCCCAGTTTCACGGATGGAGGGCTGTTCATTTTCATCATGTGGTTCTCACCTTAGAGAGCCACGCACATTCGTTTTACCATGTTAGACCAGTTTCCAGGGTTCTCATGGCTGGCGTCCCAGAAATTGTGTCTCGGCACGGGTTAAAATTGTCAGGGCGCGACAATCACGTTGATTCACGGTGACGTCCCAGACATGTTTTTCTGACACGGTTTAGGGCGGTCATACCAGTAGCGTAAATTCGCGGCGTTGGAGTCCCAGGAATGGTGCGTTGGCCCTGGCATGGTTGAAGATTTTCAAGCGGTTGTCTTCCAACGGGACTCTTCCCGCAGTGAAAAAAAACATCTTATAGGAGCCTATGAAGAGGGAACTTGGAGGGAGGGTTCATTGCAACATCGTTGATGAGTCTTGGGTTCACACTGCTCCTCCTCCTCATCATCATCATCCGCCTCCTCCTCCTCCGCCTCCTCCTCCACCACTCCTTCTCCTATCAAACCCCGAGGCTGGTCGAAAGAGCGGGTCGGGCTGTTCGTCTGAGACTTCCTCACCATCTACGCCCCTGAAGCTCACACATGGAGGGCGGGCAGTTTTCAAACTGTGGCTCTCGCCTTAGCGTCACGCACATTCGTTCCAAACTTAGCAAGAGTCTCACGGAATGAGGGCGGGCGGTTTTCACAATGTGGTTCTTGCCTTCGCGCCGCGCACATTCGTTGTAAAACTGTGCAAGACCTTCACGGGTTGAGGACGGGCGGTCTTCAAAATATGGCTCTCGCTTTAGCGCCGCGTACATTCGTCTTTAAACATTGTCAGAGGTTCACGGAGTCCCATGGTCAGCATACCAGAAATGGTGCTTTGGAAAGGTTCAGGATTGTGAAAGCGCAACAATTATGTTGATTCGCGTGTTGAAGTTCCCGAAATGGTTTTCTGGCACGAGTAAGGATCGTCAAGATGCAAAGTCAGGTTGGTCCTTGGCGTTTGAGTCCCGAGAATGGTGTTTTGGCATTAGGGTCTTCAAACGGTTCTCCCAACGATGCAATTCCCATTGAAACGGACCCTTGTAGGGGGCTGCGAAACGGGAGCTTGGAGGGAGGGTTGATTACCACATCGTTGATGAGTATTGGGTGTACGCTGGTCCTCCTCCTCCCCCTCCTCCTCCACCTCCACCTCTTCCTCCGCCTCCTTCTCCTCTTCCTCCTCCCCTCCGGGCCCTCCGTCTCCATCAGAATCAATCCTCCATCCGAACCCTCCTCCCTCCGAACCCTCCCCCCCGCTTAACCCTCCTCGCATTTCCTCCCGCATCCTCCTCATCCTGCCCCGCCTTCGCCTCTGCATCCGCCTCCGCCTCCGCCTCCTCCTCCTCCTCTTTTTCTTCTTCTAGCACTCCAGCACTCCCCTCCCGCATTCCCTCTCTGGACATGGCTGGCGCCAGCCCTGCCCACAGGCGAGCAGTTTGCCCGCGGCGCCCTCACCACAGGTCCTGGGCGGCCGCGGCGCGGCGGGGGGGGCACTGCTCCTCCTGCTCAGGCTGAGACACTACCCAGACACGCAACACACTCAATCAACATGGAGAAGTTATTGTGCCATGAACATGGGGCCATGACGCGGCCGTACGCCACCCTGGCATTGGTGGCTGTCGGCGCGCAGCCGAGCGCAAGGAGGTCTATGTTCCTGCTCGTGCTCCCCCTGCTCCTCCTCCTCCTCCTCCTCCTCCTCCTCCTCATCTTCATCCTTATCCTCATCCTCATGACCCTCCTCCTCCACCTCCTCCTCCTCATCATTGTCATCATCCTCATCGCCATCATCATCATCATCATCATCATCATCATCATCATCAGCATCATCATCATCATCATCATCATCATCATCATCATCATCATCATCATCAGCAGCAGCAGCAGCATCATCGTCAGCAGCATCGTCATCATCGTCACCATCAGCATCAGCATCAGCATCATCATCATCATCATCATCATCATCATCATCATCATCATCATCAGTTTCATCATCAGCAGCAGACTCATCATCCTCATTATCACCATCATGATCAGCATCATCATCTGCAGCATCCGCATCAGCATCATCAGCATCGTCATCCTCATCGTCAACATCACCATCATCATCAGCAGTATCAGCAACATCGTCATCATCATCAGCATCAGCATCAGCATCATCAGCAGCATCATCAGCAGCATCATCCTCATCATCAACCGCACCATCATCAGCAGCAGCAGCATCAGCAGCATCCTCATCTCAATCCTCATCCTCATCCTCATGACCTCCTCCTCATCCTCCTCCTCCTCATCATCATCATCATCACCATCATCAGCATCATCAGCATCATCAGCAGCATTAATATCAGCAACATCATCAGCATCAGCATTATCCGCATCGTCATCATGATCATCACCATCAGCATCCTCTCATCATCATCATCATCATCATCATCATCATCATCATCATCATCATCATCAGCATCATCATCGTCGTCAGCATCATCAGCAGCAGCATCATCATAATCAGCTCCAGCATCAGCATCAGCAACCTCATCCTCCTCATCATCATCATCATCATCATCCTCATCCTCCTCATGTCATCACCGTCATCATCATCAGCAGCCGCAACAACCTCAGCAGCATCATCATCAGCAGCATCACCCTCATCTTCATGATCATCATCAACAGCCTCATCAGAAGCATAATCATCATCAGCATCAACATCATCATCGGCTTCAGCATCATCACCATCAGCATCATGACCACTACCACCACAACAACAACCAACGGCATCATAATCAACAGCATCAGCATCACCAGTAGCAGCATCAGCTTCCTCATCATCACCATCATCAGCATCATCAGCATCATCAGCATCATCATCATCATCAGTAGCATCGTCAGCATCATCAGCAGCATCATCGGCAGCATCACCACCATCATCACCACAATCAGCTTCAGTATCAGCAGCATCATCATCATCATCATCATCATCATCATCATCATCATCATCATCATCATCATCATCATCATCATCATCAGTATCATTATCATCATCAGCATCAGCATCAGCATCAGCATCAGCATCAGCATCATCAGCAGAATCACCATGAGAATCAGCATCATCAGCGTCATCGTCACCATCATTAGCATCAGCATCGGCATCATCAGCATCAGCATCATCAGCGTCATCATCATCAGCAGCATCATCAGCATCAGTGTCATAAGCATCAACATAAGCATGATCGTCATCACCATCAGCATCATCAGCATCAGCAGCAACATCAGCATCATCACCGTCAGCATCATCAGCATCATCAGCATCAGTATCAGCATCATCATCATCATCATCATCATCATCATCATCATCATCCTCATCAGCATCATCGGCAGCATCAACATCAGCAACATCATCATCAGCATCAGCAGTATCCGCATCGTCATCATGACCATCACCATCAGCATCATCATCATCATCATCATCAGCATCATCATCATCGTCAGCTACCATCAGCGGCAGCATCTCCAGCATCAACATCAGCAATATCATCCTTCTCATCAACATTATCATCCTCTTCCTCCTCGTCTCATCACCGGCATCATCATCATGATCAGCAGCCGCAACAACCTCAGCAGCATCATCATCAGCAGCAGCATCATCCTCATCCTCATAATCATCAGCAGCATCATCAGAAGCATCAGCATCAGTATCAGCATCATCATCATCATCATCATCATCATCATCATCATCATCAGCATCAGCATCGCCATCAGCATCATGACCACTACCACCACAACCACAACCAACAGCATCATGATCAACAGCATCAGCATCACCAGTAGCAGCATCAGCATCCTCATCACCACCATCATCAGCATCATCAGCATCATCATCGGCATCATCATCATCATCCTCATCATCAGTAGCATCGTCAGCATCATCAGCAGCATCATCATCAGCATCACCATCATCATCACCACAATCAACATCAGAATCAGCATCATCATCATCATCATCATCATCATCATCATCATTAGCATCAACCTCATCAGCAGAATCACCATGAGAATCAGCATCATCAGCGTCATCGTCAACATCATTAGCATCACCATCGGCATCAGCATCAGCATCATCAGCATCATCATCATCATCATCACCAGCAGCATCAAATCCGAGCCATAAGCATCAACATCAGCATGATCGCCATCACCGTCAGCATCATCAGCATCATCAGCATCAGCATCAGCAGCAACATCAGCATCATCACCGTCAGCATCATCAGCATCATCAGCATCAGTATCAGCATCATCATCATAATCCTCATCATCAGCATCGACGTCATCATCGTCATCGTCATCAGCATCTTGTCATCATCGGCAGCATCAGCATCATCGGTATCGTCAGCATTGTCGTCGTGAGCGTCATCACACTCAGCATCACCATCAGCATGAGCATTATCTTCATCGTTATCATCATCATCGGCATCATCATCAGCATCAGCATCATCACCATCAGCATCATCATCGTCATCGGAATTCTCAATATTAGCATCATGAGCATCAGCAGCAGCAGTGCCAGCATCATCAGCATCATCATCATCATCAGCATCAGCATCTGCACCGGTATCACAATCTGCGCCAGAAGCACCGCCATAAGAACTGTTACATACAACAACTGCATCATCGTAATCATTCCCGTGATCATCGCGTCAGTATCGTCATCACTATCATCAGCAGCATCATCAGCATCATTCATAATCATCCTAATCAGCATCATCAGCATCATCATCATCATCATCATCACGATCCGCATCATCACCATCATCATCAGCAGCAGCAGCATCATCGCCGTGATCATTGCCATCGGCGCTATCATCCCCTTCATCAGCACAGGTATCAGCATCGGCAGCAATAACAATCGAAAAAAAACAGCGTCCGCATAAACGTCGGCATTGCAGTAAACGCCATCACCCTCATCACAACTTCCATCATCCTCGTAATCGTCGTCGTCGTCACCGTCGTCATCCCCATGACCAACATAGTCGTCAGCAGCGTCATCATCACCATCAAAGTCACCATCGGCATCGCACACTGATCATGATTATAATCATCATCAGCAGCTGCACCGTCATCATCGTCATCATGAGCGTCATCGTCATCCTCGTCATCCTCACTATCCCTCCGCTTCCTCCTCCTCCTCGTCATCGTCATCGTCACCACCATCATCATCATCATCATCATCATCATCAACATCGTCTCCATCATCATCATCACGGTCGTCGTCGTCGTTGTCGTCGTCATCGTCATCGACATCGCCGTCGGCATCGTCATCAGCATCATCATCACCATCATCGACAGCATCATCATCATCAGCATCATCATCAGCATCATCATCATCACCATCCCCGTCGCCATCGGCGTCGGCATCGCCATCCATAGATATGTCCATCCATCCTCATCATCATTCTCGTCCTCATCCTCAGCCACCGTCTCCCCATCCCGTCTCAATGTCGGTATACTCACCGATCTCCATCATCACCAGCCCTGTTGACACAAGTTGTTTAGAGAACACGGGAATTGAATCCGCCACCGTGCCTCCTGGCACGTTGAGGCGTGGTAAAATGCCAACGGCTGTCTGGTAGGGCTTCTGTCTCCTAAGGGACCTCCCTCTACTCGCAGATAACGACATGCATCGCTCCCCCTCCACGAGGCCACAATCCCTTGCAAAAGAAAGGCCCGCGCTCCAGAAGTCACGACCCGCTGTTGAAAGCAGTGGACCCGCGCTCACAAGCTTCCAACACGGCCGAAGCAAACAATCAAGACTGCAAAGATGGTCCAAGATGCCTCCAAGACAACCCAAGATGGCCCCAACACGGCCAAGATGGCCCCAAAACGACCCAAGCTGATTCCGAGAGCGCTCAAGAGGGCCACAAGAAGTTCCCAAACAGGGTCCGCAGAGCTCCGCGCTCCAAGAATGCACCAAAGGCTCCTAAAAGTGTGTCACGAAAGACCCACGATGGCATGATGAGGCGGACCCGAAAGGCAACGTTGGCTGTTGTTGGGGGCTGGTCGAGCTGAATCCGCCTTCGGTTCCACTAGTGTTCCCGCTCTTGGCTTAACTTTTACTCCCCCACTTCCCTGCACACAACACCTCGCCTGGAAGTGTTTCTGGATGGTCTGGTGGGGATACGCGAAGCGTCAGTACGCCCCCAACGTTACACAGATCGAAAGCGGCACCTTCAAATGCGTGGCTCTGGCCCTGGGAGAGGAGGGTTGAGGGTTGAGGCAAAACGGAAGCGCGCCGATTCGAGCCGACGAGCCCCGCCCGCGCGCCGAGCGCGCGCACGGGGGCCCTGCGCCGCCAGCGCGCCAGGGCCCCCGACCGTGAAGTCCCAGTCCAGCGCGTCGCTGAACTTCACCACGAACGGCGGCCTGCGGCGGCCGTGGCCTCGGGCGGCAACTCCGCCGGCGGCCGACGGCGGCCCAGCCGCCCGTTCTTGCCCAGGAAGTAGTTGTCCTGGAACCGTGCCGTCCTGAAGAAGTCGCCAACCCGCTCGATGTCGAAGCCCGCGGCCTCGACGCTCCTGACGACCTCCTCCATCTCCATGCCGTCCCGAAAGAACGAGTTGAAGAGCACCGCCGCCTCCGAGTCGCCGCAATCGCCGCCGTCGGCGTGCACGGCGCCGATGCCCTTCAGGTTGGCCTCGCTGATCTTCTCGCACTCCTCCAGCTCCTCCTGCGCCACGCTCTGTTCCAGCACGTCCATGGTGCCGAGCTTGCAGGCGTGGCGTTTCTGCATGTTGGTGTCCAGGGCCGCGTCGCCGCCCTCGGAGTCGGCCTCGCCTCCCGCGCAGATGCCCAACGAGCCGCAGGAGACAACCTTGGCCAACTGTTGCGCCTCGGCGCAGTGGTCGACGAACCCGCCGTCGCCGACCTCACCCAGCTCGCTCTCCAGCTCGTCCAACTGTTGTGCCTCGGCGCAAAGGTCGACGAACCCGCCGTCGCCGACCGCCCCCCCTCGCTCACCAGCTCGCCGAGACGCTCGCCGAAGTCCTGGTACGTCCCGTCCTCGTCCACCTCGGTCAGGGCCTCGAGCACAGCGTCCACCTCCCCGCAGCACCACGGGAGGTAGGTTTCCAGCGCGGCGAGCCGCCAGCCAGCGGCCAGGCCGTCGCCGAACGCGCGCGTAGCCCGCTGGTCCTGCACGCCCACGCGCATGTGCGACACGCCGTCGACCACGCCCTGCGGGTGCACAGCCGTGCGAGCGAACAGCTCCTGCTCGAGGGACGCCACCTCCAGGCCCTTCGGGAGCTCGGGTAAGGTGGGGGCCTCCTCCGGGTGCCCGCCGAGGCGCGGGCCGAGCTCGGCGAGCCGCCAAGCCGACAGCGGCGCCCCGTCCCCAGGGGCGTGCTGCGCGCAATTGCGCACCAGCACCTCTCCTGGCCTGGCCTTGGCCCCGATGAGCCCCGCGACCAAGGCTGGGCGGGAGAGCCGCTCCCGCCTCGCGATCTCGTCGCCGAGAGTGCCGAGGGCTGCGCCGATCCAGGGCCCCGCAGGGCGGCCCAACGCCCGCCAGAGACCGCGCTCCAGGGCCTCGCGCCCGCGCCGCCTGGCGGCCCGCCTAGCAGCTGAAGCGCCGAGCTGAGCTTCTTCATCGTGTCGTAGTCGTCGCCGAACTGCGGGCCGCTCGCCTGCCAGCGGTGGCCCCCCGCAGCCATTCATGCCGTGCTCTCGCCCCGCGCCCGTCGAACCAACGGCAATGGGGCCTGGCACCAGGCATGAGCCGCAATGGCTTGAGCCAAAATGGCTACGGACGGCCCTGGGAGAGGAGGAGCAGCAGCAGGAAGGGGAGGCGGGTAGGGAGGCGGAGGACAGGATAGGACCAAGGAAATGGAGGGAGGACAGGGGACCACAGGGGGTGGAAAGAGAGTGGAGGAGCATTCAGGAGCATCCAGAACGATGACAGCGGAATACAAATCAAGGAGTGGCGAAGCCACTCGGATTGGAAACAGGAGCTGCAGAAACTGCATCGACCTCCGACCTTCGGACTCGCGAACGGCCCGAGGAGGGCCCGAGTGGTCGGGGGGGCGACGCGAATGCGGCTGCCCCGCGGCGCCGCTGGTCCATGATGAAGTCGCCGGCGGTGTCCGCGGCGTCGCCCACCCAGTCCACGACGTCCTCCGCAGCGCCCGCGATAGCCTGGCGTGCGGGCAGGTGGGGTGAGATGGCGACGTTGCATCGGCCCCTCGAAGCTTCTCAATGTCATGTTCGAAGGCAGGTTGCTGGAGCAAGCCGCAATCGGGAGGGAAGGGATGGCAGGCACGGCGGCGACGCGTTGCGCTACAACTAGTTTATGTGCTGCAACAAGGTGCGCTCGCGGCACGCACCAGACAGCCTTGAGGCCAGATGGTGAAGGTGAGTGAAGGTGACAGCGGGGGGCCCTCGGGATGGTGTCAGAACAACACATACACACGCAGACACACCGCACAGGCAGGCACGCTCAAGATGGTGCGCATGGATCGTGAACAATGTTGCCCGACACCTCTACCCAAAATTCCATTACAATCACCACCATGGGTGGGACGATACAAATGATTCCAGAACTCCAGAACCCTAAGTATTGCTTGCGGCACTGCGTTGTATACACACGCCGTGGGCGCCACGATAAAGGACAACGACCAGAACGAGGACCAAGAGCAGCAGCAGCAGCAGCAGCAGCACCAGCACGAGGGAGACAGGAGGAGGTGGAAGAAAATCCGCCGACCCTGTCGGCGTGTGCGAGGAGCTTGGCTGTTCGAGTCGTCGTCTCCGTCGGTCGTCGCCTCCGTCGTCCCCTTTCCCTGCAGCTTCCTTCTCAGGCTCGTGAGCGAGAGAAAAATCTAGCAGTGTCGTAATCGAGTCGAAGGGAAGCCCCTTCCCTTTGATCCCTTCCCCAGGGGGGGGGGGGTCCCGGGGGGGGTCCCGGGGGGTGTCCCGGGGAGGGTCCCGGGGAGGGTCCCGGGGGGGGTGGGGGGGCAGATTCGTTTTTCCTCGGGCGGCCTAGAAACCTCGAAAACACTCCAAATGAGGTCCGAATGCCCAAGATGGCCCCCGAGACGGCCCAAGAGGGCCCCGAGTCGCCCAAAGATCGGCCGAAAACGCCCAAGATAGCCCCAAGACCGTCCAAGAAGCCTCCAAGACGTCCCAGGCCCCCTCCAAGAGACCCCCAGGAAGCCCCAAGAGGCCCCCACGAGGCTTCCAAGCGGCCTCTAAGAGCTTCCCAAGAAGCCCACAAACTACCCCCAAGAGGCCCCCAAGAGCGCTCGTCGTCGTCGTCGTCGTCGTCGTCGTCGCCATTCAGGGTCGGCGACACCGGCCGTAAGGCCTTCGCAATCTAATTCAAGGTGGCAAGAGCGATGTTCCTGGAACCCACGACGCAAACTCTGTGATGCGACCCGACCGCGCTCGAGAGGGCAGAGCGTGGATGCGACGATCGAGCTAACTCTGCGCCGATGAGGCTGACGCTACGGAGTTTTCTCCTCCTCCTCCTCCTCCTCCTCCACCTCCTCCTCCTGATCATCCTTCATGCGCTGAGCGGGAGGGGGCAAAACATTAGCGGGTGGGCCCGGGAGCTCGAAAAATTGGCGCGCAGGCGCGCGGACTCCTCGAACGCGCGAATCGAGTGGGCAATTGAGCGCAGGAGACGGGATACAAGAAAACAAGCCGCTGGGGTGTAATTTGCCTTGTTTGGGCGGGCGGGCACGGGAGCCGTGCAAAGTGAAGAAAGCAAGCCTCGGAGGCCTGTTTCCGCCTGTGCTCTGGCCAAGCGGGCCAGGAGCCAAAGATGGGCAGGCGCGCTCGGGAGCCACCCGCCACCGTGCCGTGGGCACATTGGGGCGTGAGAGCGGGGGTCCTGAATTCGCCGGCCCAACGGGCCAGAGGCGTGCTACGATCTCCGGTGACCAATTAACAGTATAACAAGTTCGCGCGCGCGAAGCGGCCCCTGGCGGCACCGACGCGACAAGCGCCCCGCCAAGGTCCCGGCAAGTCCCCGGCAAGTGCCCGTCAGAGATGCCGGAGGCAATATGGGCCGGCGGAATGAGCGAAGCGATTTAAGAAGATGCGAGGAATTCTCAGGCGGAAGCCTTTGTTGTTTTAGCTTAGCCAGGCAGTCGAAGGGTCCGAGTAACTCGCTGGTAGGTCCCAAACGAGAGTGAGATTCCTGAAATCGTCTCTTGCGGGAGCGGGGGGGGTCATTCACAAAATTGCAAGGAAATCTCAAGCGGGAGCCGTCATGCCAGGAAATCACACTTGGAACAAAGGCCGCGATCGAGCGTGAGCCTCTTTTTCAAAGAAAGCGTGGCCCATGCTCGAGCGAGAGCGATCCGTCAATCTTCCGTAGGCAAACAATAACTATTCTCTAGAAAAGTCTAGAAAAGGGCATTCAACTATAAGCCTGGGCCCGTGTCCGCAGATGCGCTGGTCAGGCGGGCTGAGAGCCAAAAGTGACACAGGTAAAAAAAGCATGCCTCTGGGGCACGTCTCCGCTACTGCGCTGGCCATTCGAGCTGGGGGGACCACGCGGGCAGGTGGGCGCGGGAGCCTTGCAGATGAAAAAAACACACCACTGGGGCTGGTTTCTGTCCGTGCGCCGACTAGGCGGGCTGGGAGCCAAAAGTAAGCTGGCACGCTCGGGAACAATGAAAAGCAAGAGAGACAAGCAGCTGGAAGATGTTTTCGCTGTATGCCTGGCCTGCGAGCGGGCAGGCTTGGAGTGAGCTCCCTGGCAGCTACGCTGGTCACGCGGTTTGGACCGCCAGAAGCCCACAGGAGGCCCACGGGAGGTGCACCGCCCTGGGGCACCTACTGCGGAATGGACTGACAAGTAGACGGTAAGAAACCAATGGGCAAGCCTGGTAAGGGAGAGCAAAAAGACGTCCAGGGCAAAGCAACTCGCACCACCACCACGACCACGACGCCGACAACGGCGAAGGAGACGAGGCGCGCGCGAGCAGGAGGGAAAGAGAGGGGGAGGGCTCCCCCTTTCGCACACGATCCCTCCTGCGAGACAGGAGCGGTGCGAGGACGACGACGACGACGAAGAAGACGACGACAACAACTGCAGCCACGACGACGGCGGCGGCCAGCAGCGGCGGCGGCGGCGGCAGCGGCGGCGTCGGCCAGGACAACGGCGGCCGCGACGAGGGCCGCGGAGGAGGGCAGCGGCGGCGGCAACGGCTGAAGGCCGCAGAGCGGCGCAAAGGCGCCGAACACGCGCGCGATGGCCTCCCCGGCATCCTCCGCAACACCCGCGACGGTCGAGCCTGCGTCGCCAGCCCAGTCGCCCAGGTCCTGCGGGCACGCGCCGAGGAGACGACGACGACAACGACGACGACGAAAACGACGGCGGCGGCGGCGGCTGCGGCAGCTGGGAAAAACAAAAAAATACCGTAACCGCTTCTCTCCAGACCTCTCCAGAGGCTCGCTCTACCTGGAATTGCACCAGCCATCGGGACTACGCAAGGTGGTCTGACGAGTTCTTGCTTTCCTCTTCCAACAACGCCTTCCCTTCGGGGATGGGTACCCTTCCCCTCCCATCCCCGAAGTTTGGTTGGTGGGGTCCGCGGTGCGCTAGGGTGTCCTGGTTCGCCCAATATGACTCCAAGGGGGCCTCCGATGCTCTAAGATGGGCTGCAAAACGACTCAAGATAGCCGATGATGGTTCAAGACAGCATCCGACATACCTCCAAGAGGCCCGACGAGGACCACAAGTGCTCTCGGAGCCCCCAAAGGACCCCATAAGAGGCCATGAAAAACCTTGGTAGAATCAGTTACATGTGCCATCTCGCCGTTTCTTGTCCAATGCGCTTTTGAGACCTCGTGATGGCCCCAAGATGGCCCAACAGAGGCCCAAGATGGGCCCAAGAGGCCACCAAGACGGCCCCAAGAGCGCCCAAGATCGCCCCAAGAGGCCCCCAAAGGGCGATTTCGAGGGCCCGAAGGAGATGGAGCCAAACGTTACGACCCCTCTCTGTTCACCGACGCCCTCCACGATAGCCCTAAGAGGCCCTCCCAGGGATCCCAAGAGGCCTCCAAGAGAGCCCCAAGAGGGCCCCAAGAGGGCCCCAAGACCCTCCGAAAGAGCCCCAAGAGGATCCCAAGATCCCCCAAAGAGACCCAAGGGGGCTCCAAGAGGCGATTAGTTTGGCTTGGTCTTCGTTCTCGCGGTCCGTCTCCTACTCGCTCTCGTCCTCGCCCTTGCCATCATCGAATTATGTGTCCAGGTCTTCCTCCTCGTCGTGGTCGTCGTACTCGGCGTCTTCCTCCTCCCTCTGCCCCTCCAAGGGCACACAGAGGGCCCAAAGAGGGCCCGTGGACGGCCTCAACACACCCAAGAGCGCCCCAAGAGCATCCTACGAGGGCCCCAAGAGGCAGTGTCCCTTCTCCTCAACCTCCCCCTCATCCTCCTCATCCTCCTCATCATCATCATCAGCAGCAGCAGCATCAGCATCATCAGCCAGCCAGCCAGCCAGCCAGCCAGCCAGCCAGCCAACAGCAGCAGCGTCACTATCAGCAGCATCATCCTCATCATCAGCATCACCAGCAGCATCAGCAGCCGCAGCATCAGCAGCAGCAGCGTCATCAGCATCATTATCATCATCATCATCATCAGCAGCAGCATCATCATCAGCAGCAGCATCCTAATCAGCATAATCATCATCAACAGCAGCATCGGCATCCTCATCATCATCATCATCATCAGCAGCAGCATCATCATCATCAGCATCAGCATCAGCATCATCATCAGCATCGGAAGCAGCACATCACAAACCGCAGCATCATCGTCAGCATCAGCATCAGCATCAGCAGCATCATCATCAGCAGCATCCGCAGCAGCATCAACATCATCAGCATCCGCATCAGCATCATCATCAGCACCAGCATAATCCTAGTCATCATCATCAGCATCGTCATCATCATCATCATCAGCATCATCATCATCATCATCAGCAGCAGCCTCAGCACCATCATCAGCACTAGCATCATCAGCATCATCAGCATCAGCAGCATCATTATCGTCCTCAGCATCATCATCACCATCAGCATCAACATCAGCATCAGCATCCGAAACATCATCGTCATCACCATCATCAGCGTCATCATCATCAGCAGCAGCATCATCAGCATCATCATCAGCAGCATAATCAGCAGCATCATTATCAGCAGCATCAGCATCGCCTTCCGCATCATCAGCATCAGAAGCAACAGCAACATCATCATCATCATCATCATCAGCAGCATCATCATCATCATCATCAGCATCATCATCATCATCATCGTCATCAGCATCATCATCATCATCATCATCATCATCATCATCATTATCATAATCATCATCATCATCATCATCATCATCATCATCATCATCATCATCATTAGCAGCAGCGCATCAGCATCCCCAGCGTCGGAATCGCCATCACCATCTTCATCATCAGCATCAGCATCGGCATCATCATCACCATCATCATCACCATCATCAACAACAACGTCAGCATCACCATCAGCAGCATCAACAACATCATCAGCATCATCATCATCAGCAGCAGCAGCATCAGCATCAGCAGCATCATCCGCATCATCATCAGCATCATCGCCATCCTCATCATCAGCATCAGCATCAGCATCATCAGCAGTATCATCAGCATCATCAGCAGCATCATCAGCATCATCAGTAGCATCAGCATCATCATGACCATCCTCAACATTCTCGTCATCAGCATCATCATCCTCAGCAGCAGCAGCAGCTGCATCAGCAGCATCATCGTCATCGTCAGCAGCGTCATCATCATCATCGTCAGCACCATCATCAGCCGCATCAGCACCAGCATCATCATCGTCATCTGCATCAGCAACATCATCAGCATCATCAGCACCGTCATCATCACAGTCAGCTGCATAATCATCATCAGCAGCAGCAGCATCATCATCAGCATCATCAGCATCAGCATCAGCACCAGCATCATCATCATCATCATCAGCATCATCATCATCATCATCAGCATCATCATCAGCGTCATCATCAGCATCATCAGCATCATCACCACCACAGCATCACAGTCATCACCATCATCACCATCAGCAGAATCAGTCTCATCATCATCAGCATTATGATCCGCCCTCCTCCTCCCCCAAACATCTAAACCTCCTAAACCTCCTCCTCGTCCTCCTCCTCCGCCTCCTCCTCCTTCTCCTCCTCCTGCTCCTCCTCCTCCTCCACCTCCTCCTCCTCTTCCTCCTCCTGCTCCTCATGTTCCTCCTGCTCCTCCTTCTCCTCATCCTCCTCCTGCTCCTCCTCCCCCTCCTCATCCTCCCCCTCCCACGCTTCCCGCTTAGCTCACTTCCCTAGAAAGGGTTGGGCGCGCGCACTTGAAAGGGCGGCAGCGCGCTCGGGACACCCCGCCGCGAGCCACGGAGGCGTGAGGCGGCTGAAGCAGGAGGTCGGCGTCAGTGTCTACCTGAGCTACTGGTTGCTATCGCGGGACGCTGGCGTGAATGTGAGCGAGTTCATCAAAAAACCTAAACATGCAGAACATCAACCTGGTGATCATCCACGATGGAGGAGGAGTTTCGCAAGCTCCTAATCACCCTCCTCCTGCTCCTCCTGCTCCTCCTGCTCCTCCTTCTCCTGCTCATCATCCTCCTGCTCCTCATTCTCCTCCTCCTCCTCCTCGTTCCCCTCCTCCGCCTCCTCCTCCTCCTCCTCGTCCCCTCGTCCCCCTTCTCCATAGATCCGCCGAGCTTTCTTTCACTATGTGCGTCTCTTCGCACCTTTTCCCGTCAGCTCTCGTGGGCAGGGATCTTGAACTGGCTGATGAGCATGCACGCGAAGCATGAAGAACTTCTAGGCGAATCCAGCCGTGGCGACGAGGGCATCCTGGGAGGCCAAAAAAAAACGAAAACGATCGGGCGTAGACACGGGTTAAACCAAACCCGGGCCAGTCGGGCTTTGCAAGATCCTGCAGGATCCTGCGCCCTGACCCGGGACGTTGCGCCCCTGGCTCTGCAGGGGCCTGCAAGATCTGGCGCCCCGGCTGTCCCCCGCTTGCATTGACCCCCGTCTCAAGGCCCCTGAGAGCGAGGCACGCGAGCGGCGGCGCCCAGCGAGCGGCGACCGACGACCGACGACCGACGGCGACTGGCGTCCTCCATCGTGGCGTCCCAGCCCTCCTCGACGATGTGCTCCCCGAGGATGACGCCGCCCACGGCCAGGCCAGCCACCGCGGCCACGCCTCGGAAGTGCTCGAGGAGTTCGAGGCTTTCGATGGGTTTTCGAGGCGGTTATCTAAGATCGAGGGGTTCGAGGATCGAGGGGATCGAGGATAGAGATTCGAGGTTCGAGGTTCGGGGCTCGATACCTTTGAGGGCGCGTTGGACCCCGCAGGCCCCCAGGAGTCTTCCAGAGGCCTCCTGGGCCGTTGGGGGAGACGCGGCGGCGCTTCGACCACGATGAGGAGGTCGAGATTCGAAGATAGAGGCTAGAGGGACGAGCCATTCCGAAGATAGAGCGGTCGAAGATCGAGGATCGACGAGCCCAGGGATCGAGGTTTTCGAGCGTCTTCGGCCCTCTGAGCGGGTCTACAGAGAAGCTCCTGGCGGCCACCCGACAGGCTGAAAGGGGGATCTCTGGGAGCCTCTGGAGACCTCTGGAGACCGCTGGAGGGTTCCAGACGTCGTCGGTCGTCCGTCGTCAGTCGTCGGCCGTCGGCCGTCGGTCGTCGGCCATCGCCGTCGCCGTCGTCGTGGGTGGTCGGCCGTCGGTCGTCGAGTCTCTCTCTCTCTCTCTCTCTGTCCTTTTCCCTATATCCGCCACCGTGCCTTTGATGAATGAGTTGGAGTGTCATCAGGCCCTTGGCCTAATCCCTTAAGCCTCAGTCCTCAATGCTGAGGATATTGTAAAGGGACCTGGACCCGAAATTGCCAAATCTTCGGGGGCTCTCAGCGTGCCCTCTGGGGCCTGTCGCGGCTTGCCGCGTGACCTTTTCGGGCCCAAGAAGGCCCCAAGACGGGCCAAGAAGGCCACAAGAGGCCGCCAAGACGATCCAAAAGGGCCCCGAATCGCCGCACGATCGCCCAAGAGTGCTCCAAGACGGCCCCAGAGGCTCCCAAAACGGCCCGAGACGGTCCAACGACACCCGCAAAAAGGGCCCAAGAAGGGGAACACGAACCAAAAATCCGACACTTGCGCCATAAGAGGCCTCAAAAGAGGCCCCAAGAGGCCTCAAAGCAACCCCCAAGAGGCCTCGAAACGGCCCCCAGGAGGCCCCCGAGAGGCCTCCCGCGACATCCCAACGGACATGCTAGAGCTCTATGGCCCACAACCCAAGCACGTTGGCGGGATGGACCGAAGGCCATTACATACTGTCTATAAGCTGTTGTTGCTCTCGTTCTCCCTCTCTCTCTCTTTCTCTCTCTCTCTCTCTCTCTCTCGCTGTCTTCCTCCCTCTGGTCTCTCCCAACGAGAAGAAGGAAAAGGAGGAAGAGGAAGATAAGAGGAGGGTAGTCAGTCGACTGAGCGACGGGGGGACTGCAATTCCCAACCCTGCTGCGCAGTCGGGTCATCGCTCCCCCCCCTCCTCCCTCTCTCACTCCCTCCTCCCGCCTCCCCCTCCTCCCTCCCACCCTCCCACCCTCCCCCTCCTCCTCCCCCCTTCCCATGTTTCCTCCCCCTCATCTCCCTCCTCCCTCCCTCCCTACCTCCCTTCCCTTTCCCCTCCTTTTCCCTGCCTCCCTTCGTCCCACTCACCCAGAATTACGCATTATGAATTCTACTCCCCTCTCTCCCCTGAAAGTGTCCAGGACGTGGTCCCGCCCCGCCCCGCTCAAATTGGTTTGTCTTACGGTATATTACAATCCGAGTAGTTTCGATGTTTTGAAAATGGCGTTCCCGCTGCAGCGTCGATCTCATTTTCGGATCGGCGCTTTGCTCCTGTTGTTCAGAATGGCGATCTCGCCCCAGCGCGGGCGACTTCGAGACCCACAAGCCTCGCAGGTCCCACAGGTCTTGCGGGTATCCCAGGCCCGCAGGTCCCACAGGTCCCACATAACCCACAGGTGTCGCAGGTCGTCCCACAGCCCACAGGTCCCACAGTTAGCAGAGTTACCACAGGCACCACAGGTACAACAGGTCTGGCAGGGCCCACAGGTCACAAAGGTCCCACAGGTGTCGCAGGTCTCGCCTGTCCCAGAGGTCCCAGAGGTCCCAGAGGTGCCACAAGCCCTGCAGGTCCCACAGGTGTCGCAGGTGTCGCAGGTCTCACATGTCCCGGGGAAGCCCCGCGGAGGTCCCACAGGTCCCACAAGTCCAACAGTCCCGCCGGTCCCACAGGTCTAGCTGGTCATGGAGGACCCATAATTCCCACAGGTCCCACAGGTCCCACAGGTCCCACAGGTCTCACGTGCCCCACAGGCCACAGAGGCTCCCCAGGTCGCACAGGTTCCACCAAAAGTCCCGCAAGTCCCACAGGTCCACAGTTCCCGCCTGCCCCACAGGTCCCACAGGTCCCACAGGCCACAGAAGTCCCACAGGTTCCACAGGCTCCACAGGTCCCACAGATCGCACGAGTCCCATAGTTCCACCCTGCCCCACCGGTCCCACAGGTCACCTTTGCCGGTAATAGGGTGCTTCGCTGGGGTAGTAATAGAAGTCGAGGTCGGCTATGACACGCGTCCGCGAGTAGAGAAACATCAGGGCAATGGCAAGGGATGGGAGGGTGGGACAGGATGTCAGATGTGGCGCGAGCGCACCTGGCTTGTCTCCTCCCCCATCGCCCCCCCCTCCCTGCACCCCCACCCTCCGCCCACCTCGGCACACCCCTCGCACGGGTCGTGCCCAACGGGGAGCTCCAGCGGCGGCACCAGCGAGCCAACAGACGCGCGGGCCTCCGCCCTCTGGGGGCGTAGTGCCCCCCACGCGGATCGTGCTCCTCACGGGGGGGGAGGGGGGGGGGCCTCCCTCCTGCGGCACGTTTAGTACCCGGAGGAGAAGCCCTCCCCTTTTGTTGCTCTTCGCAGCTGCGCAGGACAGGGCCCTTCGTGGGGCTGACGTGCCCGTCTGGGCGACCACTAGAAGCTGTTACGTGTTCTCCTCTCTATCCCCCCATCAAACGGAAAACGGCGAAAAACCTCAGGGCCCCTGTCCTGAGAATCGAACCCCCAAAACCCCCTGCGGGGCGTTCCGAAGCGGAATCCAGCCGTGGCAGCGCGAGGAGCCTCCTGAGGACCAGAAGAAAACGAATCGCAACCAACAAAATCGAGCCTCGATCCCCGATGCTCGAACCTCGATCCTCAAACATCGATCCTCCAACTTCGATCCTCGAGCCTCGATCCTCGAGCCACTATCCTCGAACCTCGGTCCTTGAACTTCTAAACTCGATCCTCGAACCTCGGTCTTCGACCCTCAATCCTCGAACTTCGAACACTGATCCTCGAACCTCGATCCTCGAACCTCGAAAATAGGTCCTCGACCCTCGATCCTCGAACCTCGATCCTAGAACCTCGATCCTCGACCCTCGAACCTCGAACCTCGATCCTCGACCCACGAACCTCGGTCCTCGACACTTGATCCTCGCTCCTTGAACCTCGATCCTCGGAATTCGGTCCTCGAACATCGATCCTCGAACCTCGAACCTCGAACCTCGAGCCTCGACCTTCGATCCTCGAACCCCGAGCCTCGACCGTCGATCCTCGAGGCGCCGCTGGTGCCGCGCTCTCTCGGAGAGGGGGCCCGACGCCGATGCGGGCGGCCGGGGCCCGCGCCAGCCGTGCCAGCGGCGACCTTGGCCCCGGTGCTCCAGCCCTGAGAGGAGGGGCCACGACGGCATCGTCGTCGTCGTCGGCGTCGTCGTCGTCGGCGGCGTCGTCGTCGTCGTCGGCGTCGTCGTCGTCGGCGGCGTCGTTGTCGTCGTCGGCGTCGTCGTCGTCGTCGTCGGCGTCGTCGCTGGCGTCGTCGTTGTCGTCGTCGTCGGCGTCGTCGGCGTCGTCGTCGGCATCGCTGGCGTCGGCGTCGCTGGGGCAGGCGTCGTCGTCGCCGGCGGCGTCGCAGGGCCACGTCGTCGGTGTAGGGGCGGAGGCTGGGGTGGGGAGGACAGGCGCGGGGGGCAGGGGGCGGGATGAGGTTCAGGAGGGGAGGGGCAGAGGCAGAGGGAGGGAGGAAGGCGGGAGGAGGAGGAGGCAGAAGTCTGAGGGGGCAAAATGCTTTCTCTGGACATCAGCAATCAAGGACCCCAAAGCGACGGGGCAGAGACGGGGGGAGGACAGCCGACAGCGACAGAGGAGGGCAACGGGCGGGGGGGAGGCCGCACCCCCGCGGGCACTACGGCCTATGGGGCCTGCATCGCCCACCTCCGAAAAGGCCGTCTGTGAAGCGCCCACGGCGTTTCTGACCCGTTGCCACGTCTGCCCTTTGGGGACCGATTGTTGGCGAAAGCTACGATGCAGAAGTGGCAGACATGCGCGACCGCGGAGCGGCGGAGCGGAGATGCGCAGCAAAACAGCACCTGGAGAGGGCGCCCGCCGGAGATCCCCAAGCCTCCAAAAACGGGAAACACTGCACACATAAGTAAAACCTACTATGTATCTAGAAGGGCGGATTCGCGAGCAGGACGGACATAACGGAAGAGACTATGCACGCTGTGCGACGCCAGCTCTGGAGATCTGGTGGGTAGGCTGCACGCCAAGTGGAGACGCAAAGGAAACGCAGTGGAAGCTTGTCTGTACATCTACAGGGGTCCCCAAAACAACCCCTGCACTAAGGAATCATATCACTCGTGTGTCCAACCAAGTCGCTGCCAGGAGTTCTCGCCCGGTCGCCGCCCTTTGCCCGCCAGTGGCCGCCTCAGCGGGCACCCCGTGCGCTGCTTTTGCTCGACAGCTTCGCCCGGTGGCCGCCCGTGGCTTCCCGTGGGCGCCTCGCGGTCGCCTCGCCGGCGCATGCGGTCGGACCTGGGCCAGAGGAACACCCCTCGCGCGCATGAGGACATCCGTCGGCCAAAACGACCAGAGCATCCCAGGGTGCCCTCCCCAGGATGCACAAGAGCATTCAACAAGCACCAAAAACACTAAAATACCCTCCCCGATCCGAGCTCGATCTTATACCTCGGCCCGGATGTACATGTCCCACCGTGCACAGAGACCCTAAACAGAAACGCTGAATGAAAACACGAAGCAGCAACAAAGGGGGCGCACTTGGCGTGTGCGCAGGTGTTGGAAGTGTGGGCAGCCTCGAAACCGAGCATGGCACGACACGGCACGGTACGCGGGCATGGCACGGCACGGCACGGCTCTTTCAGGGGGCCACCTGTTTTGTTCGCAGTCTGGAACTCAGGCACGGCACGGCGCGGAATGCGGGCACGACACGGCACGGCACGCGGGCACGGCTCGGGTCGGATCGGCAGCACAGCACACCTTCTGCCCTGGAGACCTCTGGCACGGCAAGGCACTCGCACAGCACAAGACCAAGCACGGCAGAGAACGGCACGGCACATGTTTCGCATTCTGAGAACAAAGCATGCCACGGCACGGAACGGCACAGTCTTCGCATTCTGAGGACCAAGCACGCCACTGCACGGCACGACCAGCACATTTTGCGCACTTCCAAAACCAAGCACGACACGGCATGGCACGGCCGGCACATATTTCACGGCCCGACATATGTGTCGCAGTCTGCAGAACCGAGCAAGGTACGGCAAAGCACTGCACGGCCGCCGCATGCTTCGCATTCGGGTGTTCAGAAACGGGCTCTGTTGAAACATCCGATACCCCTGATTTGATTTGCTGGTTAGAGATGTTCCCCACACGATGCTCGCACTTACAAGCTCGTGCCTGGTTCGTTTGGAATTGGCCTGCGCTTCGGGGTTCTCCCCCTCTGCCCGCCCGTGCCCGCATCGTGCCCGCTCCGTGTGCTGGCTGGCGTTCGCTGGCGTTCGCCCGATGCCCGCCAGTACCCGTCTTGTAGCCGCCCCGTGCGCTGGCTCTGGTTTCAAGAAGCACGCACAGTTCGCACCACATAGCTTGCACCCCGTAGATTGCACGATATGGCTCGCACCGCATGAGCTCGCACACCATAGCTTGCAGCGAATATGTCGCCCCGCATCCGCCACCGTGCCCCATGGCACGCTGAGGCGTGGAAGCCGCCCATCCCTTTACTCGCGGACTCGTGCGTGCACCTCCCTGCTCACCGAGGCCACTTCCCTCGTGCCCGCTCGAGGACGGTGCACGTCCAGCATGGCAGCTAATGCCTAAACCCCCATTCCACGCGTGCCTGCTCGAGGATGGTGCACTTCCCGTATGGCAATATTTGCCTGAACCACCATTCCACGCGTGCCCACTCAAGGACGGTGCACTTCCAGCATGGCAGCTAATGCCTAAACCCCCAATCCACGCGTGCCCGCTCGAAGATGGTGCACGTCCCGCAGACTGCTAGCTCGTAGGCCCCTCATCTCACGTGCACCCGCTCGAGGATCGTGCACTTCCCGCATTCTCAGGCGCTGCTCCCAAGCGCTGCAGGGCCTCCCAAGCAACGATCCCTCGTTGAAAACTATGCATATGCGGCCCGAGCTTCTCAGAGGGCCCGTGCAGGCAACCAAGGACACCAAGATGGCCCAAGATGCCTCGAAGACGACCCAACATGGCCCCAAGGCGGCCGAATATGGTTTCCAGACGGCACAGAAGAATGCCCCCAAAAGGGCCAAAATTGCCACGAGATGACCTCCAGGAAGCCAGAGCAGCCAAAATCATTGCTCCCCCGTGAGTGTATGAATTATTTCCGCAGTACCGTCTGTTTGGCTGCCGTCAGCTCAAGACGGCCCAGGAGGACTCCACGATGGCCCAAGAGGCATCGAAGGCGGCCCCAAGACAGCCCAGTAGGATCTCCCGCGGGACCCAAGACGGGCCCTAGAAGGCCATTCGACGACCAATGGCGCCAAGACGGACACACCGCGGCCCCCAGACACCCAGCCAAGAGGGCCCCAAGACGGCCAAAAAGGGCCCCAAGGAGCTCCCAAGACTGCCTCACAGGAGGCCAAGACAGCCCACGGACCGCCCAAACGAGTTGCATCATCGGCATCATCGTCATCATCAGCATCATCATCATCATCATCATCCTCATCCTCATCATCATCATCATCAACATCAACATCATCATCAGCATCACCACCACCACCACCACCACCACCACCATCATCATCAGCATCATCATCATCATCATCATCATCATCATCATCAGCATCTTCATCATCATCATCATCATCATCATCATCATCATCATCATCATCATTATCATCATCATCATCATCATCATCAGCATCATCATCATCATCATCATCATCGTCATCATCATCATCATCATCATCACCATCATCATCATCATCATCATCATCATAATCATCATCATCATCATCATCATCATCCTCATCAGCATCATCATCATCGTCATCATCATCATCATCATCATCATCATCATCTTCACCATCATCTTCATCATCATCATCATCCTCATCCTCATCATCCTCATCATCCTCTTCATCATCTTCATCATCATCAGCATCAGCATCAGCATCAGCATCAGCATCAGCAGCAGCATCATCATCGTCGTCATCAGCATCAGCATCAGCAGCAACAGCAACAGCATCAGCATCCGCATCAGCATCAACGTCGGCATCAGCATCAGCAGCAGCATCACCACCACCACCAGCATCCTTATCATCAGCATCAACAACAACCACTTGATCATCATCGTCACATCATCCTCATCCTCGTCCTCGTCCTCATTATGATCATCCTCATCGTCAGCATCACCATCATCATCATCATCATCATGATCAGTAGCGTCATCATCATCCTCGTCGTCATCATCATCATCAGCATCAGCATCATCATCATCGTCGTCATCATCAGCAGCGTCGTCGTTGGCACCACCAGCATCAGCATCATCATCGCATCACCAGCACCACCAGCATGAGCACCATCAGCATCATCTGAATAGTCAGCAATAGCATCTCCCTCATTATCACCAGCATCAGCACCATCATCAGCAGCATCAACATCAGCAGCATAATCGTCGTCGGTGTCGTCGTAAACGGCGCGTCGTCATCACAACCACCACCATCATCATCACCATCACCATCAACAACAACATCATCACCGCCAGTATCTCCAGAATCATTATCAACATCAGCATCATCAGTTGCGTTATCACCATCATCACCATCAGCATCAGCATCACCATCATCATCATCATCATCATCAGCATCATCATCATCATCATCATCATCGTCATCGTGATAGTCATAGTCATCATCGTCGTCAGCAGTAGCATCGTTATCAGCAGCATCGTCCTTACCTTCATAATCAGTACCGCATCAGTCGCGCAATCAGCATCATCATTATAGTAATCCTCATCATCAGTATCATCATTATCAGCATGATCATCATCGTCATCATCCTCATAGTTCTCATCACGGCTCTCCCAAGCCTGCAGACACGAAGTGTAATACGTGACGGCCTCGCGTGCCCCCTCGAACAGTCGCCATCCAGAAAGCTGAGCTGGCACGGTGGCGGGCGGGACTTGCCGCTGGCAGCTGGATAGATCAAACCACATGCCATGCGCCGCACATATTGCACCCAATAGGCTGCTGAGCACAGATTACACTCCATGGCTTAAGCCGAATATCCACTGTAGCTTAGAACACGCAAGAATGCACTCCATAGGGTGCTCTGCAGACATTGCCTCCACAACCTGCACCACATTGCTTGCACCCATACCTTACACACTATAGATGGCACCACACACACATCCGC